AATAGTAACAATTTTAATTTGAATTTTTATTTTTATTTTTATTTTTATTTTTGCAATAACTCAATTCATATATATATTTTTAGAATTAAGTAAATAAAATATGTGTGTTTGTCATTCTTTTTATAACAATGTTAAATGCAATTATTATAGATATATTATTCAATTCTATATAAAGATTTTATCTCCTTCATTTCCCTCCATCTCATATGAACATTTTATCCCTCTCCTTCTCAATTTACAATTAAGTTTTTTTCTAAATATAAATTTTAATATGAGCAAATACTCATATGGACTCCATGGTCCCCAATGTTCATCAATTCCTCATGAACTAGCACTGATTCTACATCAGGGTTGGCAAATGTGTGGTCCATTGGTGGTCTATTGGTGATCCATTGGGTCCATTAGTGTAACTTATTAATGGCAATGTACCAGTCCAAATTCCATCAGTTCTCAATAAACCAATCAATTTACCAACCCTGCTCTACATCCTCATCCAAAATTTGATCAACATCATTGTTGATATTAATATCCAACAAATGTATATTGTGATGATGGTGAAAGTGTTGATGATGGCAATGATAATGCAGTATTGTTTCTTGATGGTGATAATGGTAAATTAGTACCAGTATTATGGCAGCAGTCACATTATTACTATCCTCTACATTCACAACAATTTGTTCTTCTTGTGAATGTTCTTTGCCATCATTTATTTTCGAAAACATATATCACCACCATTGTTATGATGTCCTCCCTTGAATTTTTTTTTTAAACAAATTAAATTATGGTGTAATAAACTTTATTAATAATAATATAACAATAGACAATAGTGAAAGTTACCTCATATATCATCTTTAATAATTCAAAGACCTTTACAGGTTTTAGTGGTGCTGTACTTTCCTGTATGAGATCTTTTAATTCATTATACAAAGCACCCAGATCAATATAATTTTCGATCAGTATAGGATCTGTTTCCTCATTTGATCTTGGGGAATTGAATAAATAAAAACAAGATTATACATAAACAAGAATGATGACAAGATGCGATAATCACATATAATGATATTAAATAAATTGTTTTCCCAAGAAAAAAAAAACAAATCATATATATCAAAAAAATTTTTTGTGCAACACCAAGTGCCAATAATATTTAATTGATGAATCAGAGAAATGCTGATCAATTTATTACAAAAAGGATCGACAGAAAAAATCAAAAATCATTAATTTCGAATAATTTAATTAAGTAATATGGTTTTTATCAAACCAAAATAATAGCATTTATGAATCAATTCAAAATGTTTAATTACATAATTTTATTAATGCACAATCATAAAGTTTTATATATTTAATTCCATGTTAAAATTTTTTCATCTTTATTTTTTTATTGATATGCATTTTGAATTTTAATTCTATTAAAAACTTCTATATAATGAAAAAATAATGCCAAGAATAAAGCCTTTTATTTATCAAACTTGTAAATAAATCGGAAATTATTTACAATAAACTATATGTGACAAAAATCGGAAATAACCAGTCCAATGATTCTAACATTCATCATTAATTCTAGAATTCCATTTAAAAGAGAGAATTAAAATCATTCAAAAGAAACTTGGAATTTTTCTCAAAAGGAAGGTCTAGATTATTTTTAAGGAATCTTTAATTGGACAAGAGACCACATCACCAAGAGTTCCTGGAATAAGGGAAGATCTGATAGAGAATTGTTTAATGAATTTACTTAAAATTAATTCTGAATTGAACAACAATACATCAGGAAAATGGGTACAAATATTATGTGTATATAATACGCAATTGCAGGAATTAAGCATATAATATATGTACAATTTGCATACATAAAAAAATACGTGATTTGTATGCATATTATATGCTTAATCCCTGCAATTGTGTATTATATATGCATAATATTTGTACCCATTTTCCTGATGTACTAGAATTCTCTAATACTCTTTCGAAAACTCTTTCTTCTTGGTAAATTTCATAAGCTATCCCTTCTTTTCTTAGATAAGCCTTCAGTGTCTTAGTATCATTTACTTTGAAAACATAAGGAGCAATTTTTTCACCTTGTTCTTTTTCAAAATACTTCTGATGGTACTATAATTCTTGGGTTCCATAGTAGATCTGATGTAAATTAATTTATATTAACTATTTTATATAGGAGTAGTACTTAAAATAGCAAATGGGATATTATAAAGCTGTTAATTATGATCACATTACAAATGACTAAATTTTGATCCCTGAAATTCTTGGTAATATCAATGTTCACTTTGTCTGGTTTTGTTACAGTATGCCTGCCTCATATAATAATAATCACCTGGCTGATCAAAATCTCGTGTAACAAAAATCACGTGGGTGTAGTGTAACCCATTCAAGCCAAATAAATTTGATATCGGATATTGTACCCCATAATCCATCAATCTTTTATTAAACCATGGCCAGCAACAATCTTTTAGAACTATCTAAAGACGAAGAATTCAAACAATTAATTGAACAAAATAAAAATACTCCAATATTTCTTGATTTCTGGGCACCATGGGCACAACCCTGTGCTCAAATGAATGATGTATTTGCTGAGCTTGCCAAAAAAAATACCGCATATAAATTTATTAAGGTTCCTTAATGGAGATAATAGTACCAATGATTATTCTTTTTCTTACGTTAACTTTGTCTAATTTATATTGTTTTTTTTTTCAATATGAAAATTAAAAGATTGAGGCAGAAAAATTTCCTGAAATTTCAGAATCATTTGAGATAACAGCTGTTCCGACATTCATTGTCATAAAGGTTTTATTAAAAATTAAAATATATATTTTTTTAAGTTTTTAAAACTAAATTTTATTTATAATTTTAGAATGGAAAAATTGTGGACTGTATTGTTGGTGTAAATGCGCCAGAGTTAACCAATCTAATAAACAAAAATATTAAAGCTGCATCACTTGCAAAATCTATTCCATCATCATACTCGTCACCATCATCATCAAATACACCAAAACCAAAATTAGATTTGAATACGCGTATCAAAGAATTAATTAATTCCTCGTCTGTCATGGTTTTCATCAAAGTATGCATGCATGCTATTTAAATTTGTTGTATAACATTGGGTTTATCAATTACAATACTTATCCTGACATCTTAAATTATAGGGAACACCAAGTCAACCACGTTGTGGATTTTCAAAACAAATTATAGGGATTTTGAATGAGCACCAAGTTAAATATGGTACATTCAATATTCTTGCTGACGAAGAAATTAGGCAGGGTATATTATATTAAATAAAGTATTTATACATTATATGTATACGTTAAGTATTATATTTATAAAAAACATCCTTAATTTACCATACATAAAAATAGGCATAAAAGAATATTCTAATTGGCCAACCTATCCTCAGGTATTTATTATTATCATCATCATCATCATCATCATCATCATAATCTTATCCTTTTAAAATTTTGACTTATATTTAATTGTATAATTTTAAGTTATATATAAACGGAGAACTTGTCGGTGGATTAGATATTGTAAAAGAGTTGGTTGAATCGGGTGAATTCAAGTCAATGGTTCCAAAAGAAAAAAGTCTAGATGAAAAGCTTCAAGAATTAATTAATAAAGCTGATATAATGGTATTCATAAAGGGATCTCAAAATAATCCAAAATGTGGATTTTCCAAGTAAATAATATTTTGCATAAAAATTAATTGATTTATTATATATGTATATATTCCAAAAA